TGATAAAGTTTCGTCATTTATGATAAAGTTTCGTCCGTTATGATAAAGTTTCGGCCTTTATGATTAAGTTTCGTCACTTATGATAAAGTTTCGTCACTTATGATAAAGTTACGTCCTTTATGATAAAGTTTCGTCCTTTATGATAAAGTTTCGTCCTTTATGAAGAAGTTTCATCACTTATGACAAAGTTTCGTCCCTCACGACGAAGTTTCATGTTAATATCACATACCTGCCCTCTGTTACTCTGGCTCGGGCACTCTAATGCCGCATTGACCGCGTCACTAAAAGCTTTCCTAACCTCTCAGTTCTTAAGACCTGTAATGATAGTGAGGTGCGTCACCCCCCTAACCCCCACGGGGGTCGCTGCCCCCTCTTGTGCCCCCTAACCCTCACATGGGCTGTGGTCCCCTCACATTTTTGCCCTCACAGTTGCGTGCGAAGGCGTGGCAGCAACAGAACTCTTCTCACGCTTGTAATGTATTTTGTCATTGATATGTAATTTTGAATGATTTGTAATTCTTAATGATATGTAATTCGCAATGATATGTAATTTCTAATGTTATGAACTCTCAGTGATATATAATTCTCAATGATATGTAATTCTCAATGATATGTAATTTTCAACGATATGAAATTCTCATTGATATGGAATTTTAAATGTTATGTAACTCTCAGTGGTATATGATTCTCAATGATATGTAATTCTCAATGATATGTACATCTCAACATGTAATTCTCAATATGTAATTCTCAATGATATGTGATTCTCAATACGTAATTCTCAATTATATGCAATTTTCAATGTTATGTAACTCTCAGTGATATATAATTCGCAATGATATGTAATTTTCGATGAAGTGTGATTCTCAACGATATTTAATTCACAATGTTAGGTAATAGGTTATTCTCAACGATATGTGATTCCTCTACAAAACCTTTCACGGGCCAACAATTTTCATGTATTAGAACTTTTGGTGAACCTAGAGAATTGTGAAAATTTGTAACAAAATTTTTCCAGTAAATATTTATGGTACTCAAGTGTGGACTTACTTCTGTGGACTTACGAGTAGATAATTGTATTATTCAATTTAAATTTTTGAACTTTCCAGAAACAGTTGTGTATCCGTACTGTTCTGGACGTAACAGCCCCAGGCCGCGCTGGAGCGACACCCTAATATTCTATTGGCCTTAGCCCCCTGCAAATTATTCCTTATATTTTTATCCCACTACTTAACTATAATATAATATAACTATAATATCCTACTCTTGATCTATAATATCCTACTCTTAATCTATAGATCAGGAGTAGGATATTATATATAAAATCCTCCTCCCGATTTACAACATCCTACTCATAATTTATATAACAATAGAATCCATACTACCTACAATGTCACTAGTAAATTTTATGAAAACTATTCTTAAAAAAACGTTATTTCATGTGCTGGGCGTGTGCGGCAAAATAACCATTGTGCCACACACACAATAACATATTTGTGCCATCACTGCCATGTATGTCGTTCAACTACCACACAGATTTTCACATACAATAATAGCACGGTAAACATATGATGCGTCTGGACCACCTGTCTCGGGTGCTGCTGCTGCTGCTGCACGCTTGGCAGCTCAGCGGGTACCCGCAGCAGCAGTGGATGTCAGCCACGGTCAACCTTACGTCTCTGATGTCAGCCGGCGCTCAAAACGGTTAGTAATTTTTATATTATAATGCATTTTATTGTTATTATACATGCTATAATTGTGCCTGATTCACAACTCTTACCTCTTGGCCCATATTTGTACAGGATTGAGGTGCGAGTTTGGCTTAGAATAAAACAGCTTTTTTCAAATGAGGGACACATTAACCCTAAATCACTAGAAAATCGAGTAACTCCACAGCTTCCGCCCAGGGCCAGAGTCGCCCCACTCGGCTATCTGAGTTTGCTCGGCCACCCGATCCAAATTAGCTTCTGCTAAGAATTTCCTTTCTGGCTAAATTATATTTATAATGAATGTAATAGTTGATCTAATTATAATATCCTGTGAGAAAGAGAAGTGTTGGCATGGTGGAGTCATATCGAGCTTGCTGGTCGGACATTAGCGGCTGATTTACACGCTCCCCGAGTCTTGGGCGGAACCTGCTACCCAAAAGCGCATTTTAATTTTGTTTAAGATTTGGATTTAAAGAAATAATGAATGAGAACGTGCTATTACAAGAACCGAATAATCAGAGGAATAAGGGGTCATTGTCCAAATGACAATGCACCTGTTACGCTTGTGTGGGTCACCCAGACCCATACATTTTTCTGGGTGAAGGCTCAAGAAAATTGTTGATATAGTTGGTTTGATAAAATGAATATATATTTTAACATTCACCCTCGATTGGGACGAACTTACTAAACAATTGAACATTCAGCAATGACGACAAGTCTGTGATGCTGAATATGGCAATTAGATTTTGATTAATGTTCGGTAATTGAATCCACTTCTTACCGCAATCACTGGCCACCACATATTTTCAGATTAAGGTCTTGGACTATCCACATTCCTCCTTAGTAAAATCGTAAAAATTTTGAAGATTGAGCTCAAAACTTGAAATGATGAAGCACTCAAAAAATAGAAAAAATCAGATAATTTAAAAACTCCGTAGCTAAGACGAATCTGAATCCTATTTTCCGGCCTCTTGACCCAGCTTCGTACAAAACCGAGTCATGGGTGCGCTGCGTGGGGATGGCCATAAGCTTCTCGTGGCCCATGATGGCCTGCCTCACCACCACCACATCGGGCCCCGAGTGTCAGCTCTGGAGCGCTAAACACGTCGCCGTCGGCAAGGGGGTCAGGTCGGGGGCACAGCCTCATACCCCCTGCAAGATTAGCAGCTTGTACACAGGTACGATGACGTGTGTCATATATGGGTAATATTGTCTTAATAGTGACACACTTTGTTACCCACAGCCGCGTGCAGAGAGCGGTCGTAGCACTGATACGGCGCCCCTTTGCCAGGGTCAAACTGGGTCAAAGTGACCCATGAGCAGAGCGGACGATCGCGATACGTCCATTTTGGGACAAACTGAAAGTGCATGGCCGTTTGGACAATATTTCTCTTTCTAGATTAGGTTTATACCTAAACTATTAATAGTACATTCAAGCAAATCAGTGAGATTTTTTCTCAACGTCGATGTACTTTTTACCCTATTGTGGGTAATTCTGACCCAGTTCGGCCAAGCAAGCAAAGGGCGTATCAGTGCTGTGTCAGCAGTCTGCACGTGCTGTGGGTAAGAAAATGCATCACTATTTGGACAAAATCGCCCACTCATTTTTCTCAGCGAATCTGATTGCAAATTGAATGAAACTAATTGAACAATTTTTTCTCTTGAATTCATAATTGTGTTTGTGGTTATCTGTGAGTCCATTTTATTAATTATGGTTTTATTAAAGAATTTCCTTGGCCATTATTAAAAAGTTATGTACATTGTGAAACCAGCTTGCGTAGGACTATAGACAGACAGGAAGATGCACCTAGGCTAGAACTGCACCTGCACTTAGGCTAGAAGATACATTTTGATTTGATCAAATTAGCCAGGACATACTTTTAATTAAATAAAACTAGTGAAAATATGCATGGTAACTAAATATAATTAGCCTGAAGAAATTTAATAAAATAAATTAGACCAAAACGTGTTGGGACAAGATGCATCATCCGGCAATGGCAGGACTGGGCAGGGTGGCACAGTGGTTAAAGTTAAGAGTACCAAGATTGAAGCAGAGGCGCGGGTTCGATCCCAGCTCTGTGCGCCAGTTTCTGGCCAGAATCGGCGAGGAGGCCGGGCGATTAAGCACAGCAGAATTGCAGCAGTGAGTTGCGAGTTCGAGACCGCAAAATGCTGAGAATGTTCTGCGATGTTTAGAATCGGCGACAGGCCTACGGCCTAATAAAAGCTGAAACCGCTATTATTAATGCAGGCTGGTTTCACACATGAAACATTTTCCTCGCCTAGAGTTGGTATAAAATACTTCTTAGTGAAACAAAAGGAAAGGAACTTCAAAGTTAATCATCAACACATATGAATTTTTCATCAGGCTGCATCAGGACCAACGGAACCATGGCCGCCATCGGCGAGAAGCAACTCAACGCTGACGCTACAACCGAAACCTGCCAAGATGGCGGCTTCGTTAAGGACCGTGAGTTGATGGCGGTGATATCACTCAGAGAATTAATGGTGACAAATCATGACCGTCTTTTGGCACGTAGAACTGATATGTCCAAATCTCACACTTTTTGTCCCAAAGCTCACTCTCTTATGCCTGGACAAATTGGGTCGGGATGACCCACAAAAGAGCAAAAAATTGCATTGCTATTTTGACAAATTCTATTTATCCAGAAATCTGCAAGTCGTTTTGGAACCTGGCGTATAAGTCTCGTGCTCAACATCGGGAGTAACGTAGTTTCCTTTGCAAACAATTTTGTTGTTTTCGATTAGACATCGTATGTTTTCGATTAGGCATATTGTTGTCGATTAGGCATATCCTCCGTCTCCGTCGCCCCGCCCTCGGGTCCCGGATGCAACGTTAGACGTGATCCGTCTATCTGCCCTCTTTTGGGTCAATTGATGCAAGATACTACCCAAATCAAAATGTTTATTCCTCTCAGCCGCAGGCTCAAGGACGCCCCCAAGCTCGCCTAGCGGTGTAAATTAATGGCTCTATGCCCGCTTTAGGTTCTGGTTGGTTGTACGAGGGAAATAAGCACCTGATAAGGATCCGGTCTATTCCTTGATAACCGTGGGGCGACTGCGGGGCGTGCGTATTTGTGTACTTGATACGTTCGTCACAGACACGGCCGAATTTTAAAAATGCGGTAGAAAATGCCCCTTCCCTTCCCCCCTCTATTGGGGAAGGGAGGGGGCTTTTGAATCGCTGTACGCTACATATACATATATATGAGCAGACTAGACATGTATCATCGCGGCGCAATGCAGCAAGTGGCAAGTAAACACGAGTTTAAAACGGGAATAATATCTGTTGATACAACTTCCAACCAAAACTTTCAATATACCCCACAACATTCTCTTATATTTGACAAAATGCAAGATCCTCTCACATTGCCCTAGCAAAACAATCTTCAATATTCACCAGCAATCAACATTGTCACGCATTGCCAAAAACCAAACATTCCTCAATATGCAATATCACTCGACTATCAACATACTGTGTATGTGTAATATATTCAATATCAACAATATTGAATATTGAACAATATTCAACACCGCTCAATATTATTCCACAACAGCCATGTACGAAACATTCTACCCATATATTCGTACCAAACACTCGTACCTATTGCGGTAGTAGCGGCCGGTTCCAAACATTTACCACGTACGGCTGAGCAAAACATTCTCTCACCTTAACCAGTATTGAACCTTCTCTCATATTCGCTAGCACCAAATATTCACACATACTGCATTATTGTATTCTCGCGCAATAATCAGTTGAATCAGTCCTCAAAATTCCCCAAAATATTAGCGAACAACAACCTATTTAGAGTTCAGATTGAGACGCCGTGGAGAGTAGACGTGCTGTGTTGTCGATCAAAAGCCTGACCGATTTGTTTCCTGCTTTGAATTGCTTCCGGAACTTACTTTATTACCGTCGGGCAGCTGTGCTGTACTTCCGGAACTTTAATTTCGTCTGGCAGTTGAGTTGTACAGGCTTGTTTCCGGTAATTTATTGCTGTGAGAGACCGAAGCTAAATCTCAGTGAAAGAACCCAGAAATCATTACAAAATTAAGAAAGAAGATATTTTGATTTCTGGAAGAGTGTAAACAAGATTGTTAAGAAGGAATGCGGTTCTTCGAATCATGATGCACCGAAAAATCGAACAGGAGATCGAAGTGCGTAGTTGAAGATGCTTGCAAGTTTTGCAAAGAGACCTCGTTGAGAGAAGATGATCAGAAGGTCATCTGTGAACACTGCGAGGATTTCATTTGCATCAGTTGCGCGAAGCTGAGCTCTGCATAGTATTTTTTCCTACTGAAAACAGAGTCGCTTCACTGGTTCTGTAGTGACTGCGAGAAACCGACTCTTAGTGCTGAAAAAGCGAGAAGCAGATGGAAGAAAATTGGTTCGCTCTGTTTGCAGCATTTCGAGCAGAAATGGGGAACAATTACCGGGAAGAGATGAGCACGTTGCGAGTAATTTAGTTGGCTCTTTGAATAATGATCTGAGCTCGTTGCGCAAAGAGCTGATCGAAGAGAGCTCAACGGAAAAATACAGAAAATTTTGAAAGATGGTTGAAGAATCACAACCTTTTCATAGCCGATGTCGCTAGCGAAAGCTCCCGTGAATTACTAGAGAACGTAGGAAGTGCAACCTTGTATGGTTCGGCATTGCCGAAAGCACAGCATTTGAGACGAATGAACGAGTGATGGCCGACAATAAATATGTAGCAGACTGTTGTAGAAAATCACTAAGCGCATCGGTTGATATTGCATCGTGCAAGAGGCTGCGCTCCAAGAATGCTGATGCTAACACCTGCAGACCTCTATTGGTGACTGTGAAGGATCCGGCCCAGCCTGGGGTCATACTTTCAAAACTCGCTAAGTGAACGTAAGTACTTGCGCACGATTTTCTTGTCTATGATTGGTGGATTTGGCTTGATAGGCCGCCAATAATTGGCTGATGAATTTACGATCTCTTAACTTTTTTTGAAAGTATAGGCCCAGGTTTGGATCGTGCTGAAAGCAGCAAAAAAATTAGAAGAAACCGTTGAATTAAAGTCTGTTTTTGTGAAGAAGGATTCCACCCCTTTAGAGAGGGCCGATTCCCGCAAGAAATGGCAGGAGCGAAATATACGTAAAAGCACGAAAAATTAGGTCACCTACATTCAAGATCTCACGAGGACTCCGACCGCTCGCCGACAGTAAGGGGAGATGGAAGACAATTGAATAGAGGAAATAATGTACATAAATCCAGTTCTGTAAATAAGGTAAAAAGTTTACTCATACATCAAATGGAACTGCACCAAAAGTTTTGAAATGTTTCTACACGAATTTTGATTCCGTTTTGAAATGAAATGAACTGTTAACTGTGATCGCAAACATGTGTATTTACATTATTTGTATTACAGAGACACTTCCTAAAAATCACGGGGGAAAATTGTACCAGTTGAATTTCAGCTGCCAGGTTTTGAATGCTTTCATAACTTGAACGAAGAGCAGTGTAGTACAGCTGTAGCTGTGTGGGTTATGACCTTTTGTGGGACCCAACAAGTTAAGTTATCAGCAGAGCACCCCCTATTATTGGGCGGCTGAATAGAAGAGGCGGCCATTTCACATCTGATTCATCTCTAATCCGAGAGTGGCAGCCGAACCCGACCGACAGCTGCGCCTGAATTTTGACAGGGATTGCTAGTCACTTGCTGAGGGTAGTTTCCCGTAACCGGACGATGCGGAATCCTAATTCGTCATTTTTTCTTGGTTGGGAGTCAGTTTATCTACTTTCTGTTAAAATAAGCTAATAATAAGTGGATTATCGTTTGCTTGTTTGACCTAAAACATGTTTTTCTTACAATGACTCGTTGAACTTTAGTTCTCACGGCAGTTTTCGTCAAGTTAAACTAGCACGCGCATTCCATTTTTTCCCCCAAAAATTAATTTATATTCTATTAAATATTATTATTCAACAATGGCTATTCGTTTACCTGACCAACCTTCTCTCATTTACAGCGACGGGCCAAAATTCGGGTTCAACTGGCGATCAGTCGACGAGCGGAAATTCCGGCTCAACTGGCGATCAGTCGACGAGCGAAAATTCGGGCTCAACTGACGATCAGTCGACGGACCAAATTTCGGGCGCAACTGGCAATCAGTCGACGAGCGAAAATTCAGGCTCAACTGGCGATCAGTCGACGGGCCAAAATTCGGGCTCAAATGACGATCAGTCGACAGACCAAAGTTCGAGCGAAAATTACGATCAAGCGACGGGCCAAAATTCGGGAGCAACTGAAGATAAGGCGACGGCCCAAAATTCGGGAGCAACTGACGATAAGGCGACGGGCCAANCTTACGATCAAGCGACGGTTAGAAATTCGGGAGCAACTGACGATCAGTCGACGGTCCAAAATTCGGGAGCATCTGACGATAAGGCGACGGTCCAAAATTCGGGAGCAACTGACGATAAGGCGACGGTCCAAAATTCGGGAGCAACTGACGATAAATCGGCGGTCCAAAGTTCGAGTGAACAACTTAACTGAGTTTGTGTCACACCGACGGTGCAGGGATGTTTCGAGTTCGGATCACAACGATAGTGTAGGGTTGTTTAGGGTAAAGATTAAATATCTAAAATATCTAAATATACACTGGCACGTGTGGAGCACCCCTTGACTTAGGGGTTGGCATGCGATTACGTCATGCCCAAGTTTTAGTTTGTTTGAGGTCACCTAAGTATTTTTTCCAAATAATGTCTTTGTAAAGGAAAAGGAGTGAGACTTTCAAATAGCAGTACACTTTCTACACTTGTGTGGGTCATCCCGACTCAGTTTAGGCCTGCGAAAAAGCACATCAGTGCTACGTCCGCTCTCTGCTGGTGCTGTTGGCAACAAAGTGGGTCACTATTTGGACAATATGACCAATTAATTTATATGAGTGATATTTTATCCCTGAACACTTGCGTGATGAATAAATAAGAAGCGATATATAATGACTGTTATATTGAGGTTCATGAATACAAATATTAAATTCATTAATGTTTTATGTTGAGTTTCCGCTGGAATGGTGTGCATTACTGACGCATTCAAAATTTTCTTTCAGAGGAGACATTCATAAGAATTTATGCGCACCGTGTATTTTACAATTTAGCTTATTGGAAAAACTGATAAGGTTTCTTTTTCATGCAGTAACTTGAACAAATGACTAGCAGATGACGACTGTGTTTGTTATCCTATTCGTCCGAGTAAAAAATGATAGGGGTCCGAGAGGACCCCTATCATTCTTCCGAGTAAAAAACTTTGATTATTATTTATGAAACTCAGTTCAGTTTATGGTGATCAATATATAAATCACAATGATATGTAATTCCACTAGATAGAATCTTTCATAGGCAACCAATTTTCAAAAAATGCAATTTTTGGCGAACCTAGCGAGTTGAGTAAAATTTAGCAGAATTTTTTTTCAGCAAATATTTATGGTACTCAAGTGTTAGAACACACTGTTCACCCCTGTTTACCTACGAGTAGGTAAACAGGAACAATACGAATTGTATTATTTAATTTTAATTTTTGAATGTTCTGGAAACAGTTGTGTCTTCGTACTGTTCTGGGCGCAACAGCCCAAGGCCACGCTGGAGCGACACCCTAATATTCTATTGTTCTTAGCACTCTGCAAATTTTTTCTTATAGTTTTATCCCACTCCTTACCTATAATATCCTACTTCTGATCATCTAATATCCTACTCCTGATCTCAAATATCCTACTCCTGATCTCTAATATCCAACTCCTGATCTCTAATATCCTTGATCTCTAATATCTTAACACCGATCTTTAATATTCTACTCCTTAACAAAACTCGGGCACCGCATAGGCTTCGGCCGAATAGTCACTACACTCGGCGCAAAGTTATTCTGGGTCTGCTGGGCCAAACGATCGAAATCAGTTTATGTTCAGAATCTCCTTTCCGACTTTAAAGTCGCCTGAGAGTATGACAAGGGCTGGCAGAGCCGAGTCATAACGTGCTAACAGGCTGTCCAGAGGCTGACCTTCGAATCTTGAGCCGAAGCGGACATAGAGAAGCAGATTTACGTACTCCAAGAGTCCTAGGCGACCCTAATGCAGGGTCGCTTACGCCTCTAAATTTTGTTAGGGTCCCGATCTATAGTATCAGACTCCTGATCTATAAGTCAGGAGCCTGATATTATAGATCGGGTAATCTATACCCTGATACAGATTACCCCTGCCTGATCTATAATATCCAATTAATGATCTTTAATAATAGAATCCGTACTACCTACAATGTCACTAGTAAATTCTATATAAACCCCATCTTGTAAAAACGCTGTTTCATGTGCTTGGTGTGTGTGGCAAAATAACCATTGTGTCACACACACAATAACATATTTGTGTCATGTATGTCGTTCGACTATCACACAGATTTTCATATATAATAATAGCACGGTAAATATATGATGCGTCTGGACCACCTGTCTCGGGTGCTGCTGCTGCTGCTGCACGCTTGGCAGCTCAGCGGGTACCCGCAGCAGCAGTGGATGTCAGCCACGGTCAACCTTACGTCTCTGATGTCAGCCGGCGCTCAAAACGGTTAGTAATTTTTATATTATAATGCATTTTATTGTTATTATACATGCTATAATTGTGCCTGATTCACAACTCTTACCTCTTGGCCCATATTTGTACAGGATTGAGGTGCGAGTTTGGCTTAGAATAAAACAGCTTTTTTCAAATGAGGGACACATTAACCCTAAATCACTAGAAAATCGAGTAACTCCACAGCTTCCGCCCAGGGCCAGAGTCGCCCCACTCGGCTATCTGAGTTTGCTCGGCCACCCGATCCAAATTAGCTTCTGCTAAGAATTTCCTTTCTGGCTAAATTATATTTATAATGAATGTAATAGTTGATCTAATTATAATATCCTGTGAGAAAGAGAAGTGTTGGCATGGTGGAGTCATATCGAGCTTGCTGGTCGGACATTAGCGGCTGATTTACACGCTCCCCGAGTCTTGGGCGGAACCTGCTACCCAAAAGCGCATTTTAATTTTGTTTAAGATTTGGATTTAAAGAAATAATGAATGAGAACGTGCTATTACAAGAACCGAATAATCAGAGGAATAAGGGGTCATTGTCCAAATGACAATGCACCTGTTACGCTTGTGTGGGTCACCCAGACCCATACATTTTTCTGGGTGAAGGCTCAAGAAAATTGTTGATATAGTTGGTTTGATAAAATGAATATATATTTTAACATTCACCCTCGATTGGGACGAACTTACTAAACAATTGAACATTCAGCAATGACGACAAGTCTGTGATGCTGAATATGGCAATTAGATTTTGATTAATGTTCGGTAATTGAATCCACTTCTTACCGCAATCACTGGCCACCACATATTTTCAGATTAAGGTCTTGGACTATCCACATTCCTCCTTAGTGAAATCGTAAAAATTTTGAAGATTGAGCTCAAAACTTGAAATGATGAAGCACTCAAAAAATAGAAAAAATCAGATAATTTAAAAACTCCGTAGCTAAGACGAATCTGAATCCTATTTTCCGGCCTCTTGACCCAGCTTCGTACAAAACCGAGTCATGGGTGCGCTGCGTGGGGATGGCCATAAGCTTCTCGTGGCCCATGATGGCCTGCCTCACCACCACCACATCGGGTCCCGAGTGTCAGCTCTGGAGCGCTAAACACGTCGCCGTCGGCAAGGGGGTCAGGTCGGGGGCGCTGCCTCATACCCCCTGCAAGATTAGCAGCTTGTACACAGGTACGATGACGTGTGTCATAAATGGGTCAAATTGTTCTAATAGCGACACACTTTATTACCCTCAGCCACGAGCAGAGAGCGGACGTAGCACTGATACGGCGCCCTTTTGTCAGGTTCAAACGGCGTCGATGTGACCGATGAACAGATAGCGGACACTCTTTTTGGGTCAAGCTAAATGTGCATTTAGACTGCTAAATGTGCATGAAGACTGCTAAATGTGCGTCATTTGGACAATGTCTATCTTTACTCGATCTCAGTGTAGATAAGATATAAGTATGGAAATTGAAGGTACACTCAGAAAAATTACTTGTAAGAAAGTGTTTCGCTATTTGGATCGAAATACAACAAATTCTTTTTTTTTAGTGAATCAGATTGAAAATTGAATAAAATAAATTAACAAATTTTGGCTCTTGAATTCATAATTGTGTTAGTGACTATCTTTCAGCCCTTTTCATTGATTTGTTCTGGTTTTATGGAAAACTTTTTGGCCCTTATTCAGAAAAAATATGAATATTGTGATACCAGCTTGCGTAGGACCATAGACAGGAGGATGCAATAAGTGCGCGGGAATGTATTAATTGAAATATATAATAATTACGCTAGAAGATACATTTTGATTTGATTAAATTAGCCAGGACACACCTGTAATTAAATAAAACTAGTGAGAACATGCATGGTAACTAAATATAATTAGCCTGGATATATTTAATAACAGAATAGACTAGATTGACTAGACGAAGCTGTGCAGGAGCAAATGTTCAGTCTTGAAGTGCCTAGCACCAATTACGGACCAGGGGCCATACTTTCAAAATTCGCTAAGTGAACGTAAGTACTTACGTTCTATTTTCTTATCTATGATTAAGTGAACGTAAGTACTTACGCTCTATTTTATCGTCTACGATTGGTAGATTTTGCTTGAAAGGCCGTCAATGATTGGCTGATGAACTTACGATCTCTTAACTTTTTTGAAAGCATGGGCCCAGGCAATAAGTCTCAATCAATCGTCAGTTATGGAAAGATCGGGTTCCAAAGGCCGGATCCCTTGTGAATCAAGTCGCGAAAAGTACAAGAATCGGCAACAGGCCATGGGCCTATTTCTTCAGTGCCGACACTTCTAATCTATTCTATTCTATAAAATGAATTAAACCAAAACATATTAATGGGACAAGATGCCTCTTCCGGACTTTGGCCAAATGCAAGCTGGCCTAGTCATTTTCCACATCTAGAGTAGGTACAAAATTCTTCTCAGTGAAACAATAGTAAAGGAACTTGTTTCAAAGTAAATCATCAACACATATTTGAATTTTTCGTCAGGCTGCATCAGAACCAACGGAACCATGGCCGCCATCGGCGAAAAGCAACCCAGCGCTGACCCCGACGCCATCAATGAAACCTGCCAAGATGGCGGCTTCGTCAAGGACCGTGAGTTGATGGCGATGATACCTGTTGAATCTTGGATTGCTATGCAGGATCTACCCGACCTCAGTTCGCAATTCCGGTGTTCACAACGAGTTAAACTCTTCTGCTTTGATCTGACTCCAAAAGAGCTCTGGTTATAATAATTAGTCAGTCGTCGAGGATACAAAACTGATTTACACTAATTATTTACTTTATTTTACTCAAATCTTCAAGACTCCCAAAAGTTGACCATCGAGTTTATTAATGTCACTTGCAACGTTAAAATTTTGCCATCGTGAAAATCGATTTCGACTGGAAATAAGAGCTACGGGCGGTAAACTGGCTACGAAAACGCTTTGACATCGAAATTCCGAGCGAACAAAGAAATATTTGGCTATCAAACATCTAACATAATTTCTACTCTACAAACTCCATAAAATACAAACAAATGAAATCTCACAATATCACTCAGAGAATCAATGGTGACAAATCATGACCGTCTTTTGACACGTAGAACTGATATGTCCAAATCTCACACTTTTTAATCCATAGTCCAAGCAGAGAGCGGACGTAGCATTGATACGCTCATTTGCCGGGGCCAAACTGGGTCAGGATGACCCACATAAGGGCAAAAAATTGCATTGCAATTTTGACAAATTTTTTCTATCCAGAAATCTCCAAGTTGCATTTGAACCTGGCGTATAAGTCTCGTTTTTAAAATCGGGAATAAGGTAGTTTCATTTGCAAACAATTTTGTAGTCTTCGATTATGCGTCAGCATCCACCATGACAGTAACAGGTCAATGTTTCTTAAAATGCATCAACGATGCTTAATTGAAATAAATTCAGCGCTCACACAAGCGTCCCTCTCCTCGCTCCGTGAGTGCAGCCGGCACACTGACTTTATGACGAGTTTAGGACTTCTTAGTCCCCGGTCACGCTGAGGCGCCGCCTTCGTCGTCCTCCGTCTCCGAGTCGTCGTCGGATGTAACGTTGGACGTGTTCCGTCTATTTGCCCTCCTTTGGGCCAGCTGATGCAAGATGCTGTTGCTTGTCACTTGCTGAAGGTAGTTTCCCATAACCGGACGATCCGTAATCTTAATCCGTCGTTATTTCTAGGTTGGGGTCATTATATCTACTTTCTTTGAAAGCAGACTAATGCGATGGGCTTTTTTAGGAGTGCATTATCGTGAGTTTGTTTGACCTGAAACATGTTTTTACAATGACTCGTTGAAATTTAGTTCTCAGCGCATATTTCTTTAATTTTAACTAGCACGCGTATTCAAATTTTATAAAAAAAAATGATTTATCTTCTTCGAAAACCTATTATTAAACAATAACTATTCGTTTACGTTACCAACATTTCTCTCACTTACAGCGATCAAGCTCAAGACCACATGCGACATTCCTTTCACCCAGATACAAGACGTGGGATGCGTTCACTATCTTCAGGGCCAATACAATTGGGCTGATGGACGCAAAAGGTGCCTGACCGAATACTCTGCGGAGATGTACTCAGCTGACAACTACAAGGAGCAAGGAGCAGTGAGCAACATCATCAAGAACCAATGTGAGTTTGCTGTGTGATCACACAGAAAATAACACACACAGGTGATTACATGATATGTGGTAAACATCAGTTGAATATCTCACATGCTTTATTATGCATGAAAATCACGAACGGCGCATTTGAATCGTTCAAATGACAGTAATACGACGAAGAATAAAGCCTAACTACTTCCAGCTTGTAACCAACAACTTCTTCAAATTCTAGCTCCTTTCTCCCTGTCATCCCCACTCTTTGTATTCTCCCCATTCACAATGATTATTCTGATCATTTCAGTTAAAAAAGATGTGTGGGTAATGATCCAAAAGTCATCATCCGGAACGTGGCAGTACCTGAACTCAAACTACAGCCCCGGCACAGAGTTCTGGAAGGACTACCCGTCTTCCAGCAGCAACTCCTGCGCCAAGATCAACGGCAACGGCGAGCTGGAGGACAGGTCTTGCGACGAGCCTTACTACATCCCATGCAGGATCAGGACTACGACAACTGGGAAGTGATGAGTTTCGTGACAAATTTGCGAGTGCAAACGGGGACAAAATTAGGACCGTGAGCGACGACAAAATTTCAACCGCGAGAGGCGACAAAATTGCGGGCGGGAATGAAACAAACTAGCGAGTGCGATTGCCAGGGACGAAATCAGGGCGGCGTGAGTGTAGATTATAACATAACATAGTGCTGTCGGCGCTGAAGAATAGGCTTGATGTGGCCTGTCGCCGATTCTTGTACTTTTCGCGACTTCTTCTCGGAGAAGTGAACCTCTTGCATAAGTTGGTTCATCCATAATGAAAAATATTAGGCCGGACATCTGGGATATAATTCGGGGTAGGGTTAAAATTATGGTAGAGGGATGTTTAGAGTTCGGGTCTCACTGATGGCGCAGGGGTGTTCGGAGTTCGGGTCACACCGACGGTGCGTGAAGTTTGGAGTTCGGGTCACACCGATGGTGCAGGGGTGTTTGGAGTTCGGGTCACACCGATGGTGCAGGGTTGTTTGGAGTTCGGGTCACACCGACGGTGCAGGGATGTTTGGAGTTCGGGTCACACCGACGGTGCAGTGAAGTTTGGAGTTCGGGTCACACCGACG